AAGTTAATCAAATCGCGGTTGATGGAGATTGAGCAGGATAGGTAGAAACATTTAGGAAACCATTTGGATGGTTTCAGTTGTATGCAGGATGAAATGATGAACATTTTTCAGGTTGTAGCTCAAGTAAAACGAATTCAAAGTATTGGAAGCATCCAAAATTCTAAATGGTAACATTTTATTTTCAGACCCCAAACCGATTGGAAAATTGACTTGTGATCATTTTTCTGCGATTTTTCACTCAGAATTAGCGACATCAGACTCCTTGCCTGACGATGATCCATTGAATCATATCTATAGGTTTCTGTCAGATGACGATCGTGTTGATTTGATGAAGGCGATAACGGAAGAGGAATTAAGATCTGTTCTTCTCTGTTGTAATAAAAAAAAAAGATCTCCTGGGCCCGATGGGCTTACAAATGCGGTTTACATGAATAACTTTGATAGTTTAGATGATTTAGTTTATATTTTTAATTCATATTTAGCTGGAACAATTTCTCCTCCAAAGTCATTATCAGAAGGTGTTATTAGGTTGATTCCCAAGAATAACAGTGGCAGATCCTTTTTCGATGACTATCGTCCCATTAGTTTGCTAAATTGTGACTACAAACTTTTTGTAAAGCTTATTTCTGGAAGAATAATTAATTTTCTTGGTAAGTTGCTAGGACCTGGACAAACTGCGTGTGTTTCGAATGTGTCATGAGTGAATAACTTGAAAGACGCGAGATAATTGGTCACGAGGTCGTGTGAAACTAAAAAGTTTAAAGGATGCTTACACACTTAGAAAAATTAATGTAAATTTAGGTGCTCTGAGACTGCCATATTTGAGCGTCAATTTTGACATTAAATTGCCTCATAATAGACGCAAAATTCAGCTCAATCAAACGTACTTTTCGTCGAGTATCATGACATGTTTGTTTACGTTTTTTTCTTTATGTCAATGATGGATTCCGTCATGTGTAAAGTTAGGAATTTCTAGGTGTGTAGTCAGTTTAGATCGAGGTTTAGATCTTAACAAGGATTTTGACAGAGTAAATCACGATTACTTGTGGAAGGTTTTAGATAAATTTGGGTTCTCGCAAACTTTTGTTGATTGTTTGAAAAGCATTTACAAGGATGCTTCCTCTTGAATTTTGATTAATGGGTTTCTTTCTCAAGAAATTAAAATTGAAAGTTCTGTTCGTCAGGGATGTCCCATTGGCTTGAATTGTAGAGTTCGATTGAAACACGTCTTTATTGGTTAACGTTATACAGTGGAATGAATTTTATTTTATATTGGGGCTTATTACGGATGTCACTTCACGGTGAAAACTTGTCACTTGTCGTCACGATGAAGTGATTCCCATTTGATTTGTACGGCAATCACGGCTCTTATTATGAGTATCACTTCCTTATCACCGTGTAGTGGCACCCATAATAAGGCCCATTTTCTCTTTACAACAGTGACACGGATTATCGCAGACTACTGCGTTATTCAATACTCCTCCCTAATCCGAGACACCTAATAGTTTGCAAAACTGTTGTTGTTTCTGAACGGCTAATGGCTTAGTAAAACCATCAGCTGGTTGCTCCATGGTCGGAATGTACATCAGCTGCGTCGCACCTTGTTGTAGGCTATCGTGCACAATGTGATAGCGAATGCTAACATGCTTCGTGCAAGGGTTGTATGAGCCATTATTCGCGAAGCTGATTGCAGATTGGTTGTCACAATATAATTACTGGCCGCTGCTCGAATATCTGCGACCGCAAGTTGTTCCACCACATTGCTTCCGGAATTGTTCGAGACAGGACCATATACTCTGCTTCACAGGATGAAAGAGCAACGGTGGACTGCTGTTTTACGTTCCACGATATGGCTCCACCTTGTAACATGAACACGTAACCCGTCGTTGACCTTCGGTTATCTGGATCTCCTCTCCAATCGGTATCGCTAAACCCGACTAGTTCCGATGATCCTCGCTTGGATTACTTCAAATTCTTCGTCGATGTTCCTGGTTTCTCGGTCCCATGGATTTGTCCAGTCTTAAACTGGGATCAGCTGGCGTTGCTACAGGATACAATTCGGTCATTCCAAAACGCTGATTATTTCCTCGATGTACGCCTGTTGATCGAGCCAGAGCTTTCCTTGTGCTTGATTCCTCGTAATCAAGATGCCCAAACAATACTAGACTTCACCGAGATCCTTCATCTTGAATCGTTCGCTCAAATACGTCTTCAGCTTTCGCTTCAGATTCTGATCGTTGGTGAAGATCAGAAACTCGTGTACGTAAATAGTGACGAACATCATCTTGTCTCCACACATCATCCAGTACGGGCAACAATCTACGGAGGAACGAATCAGTCCGAACTTCTGAAGCACGCCATCCAGCTGCGCATTCCATACTCGGTTTGATTGCTTCAAGCCGTAAAGAACTTTCTTCAAGCGGCATACCTTTCCACTTCGATGGTCTATCCCCTGCTGCGCTGATTGGTACCAACAGCTCTTGGGAATTCAGCTCCATGAACTGGTTTTGCATTTTGATCACTCGTTAGGCTTGGACATGATTCACCTTCTGGTAGGAGTAGGTAGCCAAAGGCTACCGTTTGTACGATCCTGACAGTGGTGAGTTTCAAATCAGTCGAGATGTTGTAGTCCTACCAAGACATGGAAAATCATTTGGATTCATTTCATACATTCATTTACATTCATTTGCCTCTAACTTTTTTCATCAACAGCATTCCGCAAAATGATGTATGGCATTTTTATAGGTTTTGTTATTAGCTACAATTTTTACTCATAATTTAAATCTGTATCTGTATCGCTGTCATGGGCTAGTACTGCTCAGGAAGTCACATCAACAGAATCGTCGCGAGCCAAGAATCGTCCACCTAGAATCCCACGGATGCGAGCTTGTGACTTATGCTCATCAATTCGTCCACGTATGCCTCAACGCTAGCACAACTTATTAGCCGTACTGACGTGAATTTTCTGTGCAGCCCAATTTTCCTGGTTAATCCGCTGTCCTGGAATGCAGATTGCAGCTTCGTCCAAGCTTCCTTAGCAGTTTCCGCATCCTGAACCAGGCTGTAGTCGTAGCTCTCCAGTGACACGAATTATCACAGACTACTGCGTTATTCAATAGCTTGTCTATGACAACAAGTTCATCAGTGTGATTGCTTATGCTGATGATATACCTACGTAATTGTTTTTATTAAGAATGATTTCTAATTTGATCGTCTGTTCTCAATGGATCAATGAGGTTGCTGAGGTTTTGACAGAACTATGCTGTGGCTTCTACAGTATTTTACATTTGATTGTCCATATACAGTAGCGCCAAAAGCATGCTGTGGTGGGCTCAATTGTTGATTTTTATAGCTGGTTTGCTCACATTCGACTCAATTTGGAGAAGTTAGAATTTCTTCGTTTGAATAATGCTAGGATTGGTCCTCAAAAAGTAGCGGAAGCTGATAGTCTCAAAATTTTAGGAGTTTGTTATGAAAGGAGCTGGAGTTATATAATGGATTCAAACTATGAGACGTTGGTTTAGAGTATTAAAGCAATTCTACAAATCCGCAATGTTCGTCTATTGAATATTTTTGAGCGTAGTATAGTTTTGAATGTCTTTGTGTTATCAAAAGTATGGTATAAAAAAAGAGTGGATAAAGGAAGGGGTCTTGATAAAGAGCAATTATAATCTTGAAACAGCAAAGCTTTTGTATGGTATATTTATTGATAGGAATAATCATATGCCTGCAGTAGAAAACAAAATCCAATTTAATTAGGTTACCATATGGGAGAACTTAAGTTTTAACTTTCTGCCTCTTCTAGATCGTGCGAAATTGTTCGTTTTTGTAAACGATCTTTTTCCAAATGAGGAAAAGCTCAAGCTTTACAATATTGGCCATATTGCATCAACTAATTGTGAACAATGTGGTTTGTCTGATACTAATGAACATCTTATCAAGCAATGCACGAACTCAAAAATAATCTGGGATTGGTACAGTCAAATTATAGAGCGGGTGAAGGTTAAGGTAAAGGAGATCGAAGATATTCTTCAATAGAAGATTCAAAACTCTGCGAAGCAGCTAAAATCTGCTTTGTGGCTGATTAAAAGAGCGGTTTCTTTCAACTTCACGAGCCTTCTTTGCTTATTTTAAAGAAAGAGTTAAGAGAGATGAGATGGAACAAACGAGTCATGTTTCACGCTGAATTCGGGAAATTTTTGAGCATTTGTTGATTGTTCCTTGAGGAATGTAGATACTTAAGCATACTTAAGTATTGTGAACTCGAACTGAATGTAACTATTAATTATTTAAATAAAGACAGCAAATTTGAAATATGACAACTGTTATAAAACGGTCTACACTGATCGACGACAAATAAAATAAAAAATTGTCAGTCACACTGAATAACAGCAGCCAATAAACGCTACCGTCAAGAGTAATCTACACACTAAAAATATCTGAATTTTACTGGTACTGTAAACATCCATGCATGCAAACATTCATGCATGTAAACTTCCTTGTCACGTAAACTAGCAGCTTGCAAGAAATGTTGCAAACAAAGGTGGAAAGTTGCATACAATAAATGGAATATTGCATGACATGTCTCATAAATTTACACGATTTCCAATGTAAATTTGTATGATTTATGACGCTCCATTTATGTGCATCATAGTAACGGAAATTTACACTACTTTTTTTAGCTGTGTACCTTGAAACTTTTAATGCTTATGAACTGTGTGTATTGAAAACCCAAACCAGCATATTTAAAATGCTGTCAGACGATGTTTTCTTTGACCAGGAAATCGAGATTACTTTGATCATTTTTGAGTAAATGTGAGTAACTGAAATTTACTCGCTGCACATATATTTACTCTGAGTACAGCTGTCTTGCCCCTAGCTTCATGACACGAATTATTGCAAATTCTGCATACTTTTCATGCAAATCTGTAATAGAATGTTACATTTCCCGGTTTGTTGTACCATTAAAAACAACCCAAAAGCTATTCAAAGGTACTCACCTCCGTGGAGAAACGTGAACATGTTAACAATGAGCAGCGCTGGCAGGAACAGTTGGACCACCTTCTGAACACCGCCGGTTGCGATCGCCTTACAAGCACCTTGTTGTAGCCGTCGTCGTCGTCGTCGTACATCTCCTGTGTCTTCATGGCCGTCACTACAATTACTACTACCACTACTGCATGGATTGCTACTAGCCTCTTGTCTTCGTCGTTGTTGCTGCGGCTGTTGTTGTTGCTGTTGTTGTTGTTGTTGTCGTCGTCGCCATGATGCTGACGTGGCACTGAGTGAGAAATGATTGCTACTGCTGTCGTTGCTGATGCTGCTGAATACAGAAGTGGATGACGATACGAGGATGGCCAGCAACAGTTGGAGTAGCCGTAAAACTGAGGCCAACGTGGCGTCGTCGTTGTCGCCATCGTCTTTGCGGGTCGCAATCGGCTTCTTACTATACTGGTTACTATGGCAGCGTTCGGTTGTTTCTTGTTCGTCTGGTTCCGGTCGGACATCAGGACCACTGCGGCGGTGGCGAGCACTAGTCTTCTTAACATTAGGGTTCGTGTTATCAAAAGTGTTACCGTTAAACGTATGAATCTGTTTAGTGTTACTTGATTGGAAGCATTCATGGTTGTTGTTGTTGTTGTTGTTGCTGTTGACTTGGTTGTTGCAGAATGTCGTTTGTAACCCCCGGTGGGAAGCGCTTTTATGCTTCCCTGGTCGCCGGCGATGGCGAGGTGCCACCCTTCCGTGGGCGGCCGTGACCAACAGTGACCAGGGTCGTCGATTCGAGTAGAAAAGATTGCCTTTGCGAAAAGAAGCCACCACAGATACAGCGACAACTGAGCCGCTACCGGTTGATGCACACCGCAGTCGTCGTCCTCTTCGTCGCCCGGTGTGGTGTTGGTGGACGACTGTGGAAGTGAAACGCTCGAGTTCCGGTCGCCCACTGGGCCAACGGAATGGACCACATCGGCCGCATAGAAAGTGCCTTCGCTTTTGCCGCTGAACGAAGCAGGCTGAGGCCACCCGTTCTGGCGTTGCTGATGTGGAGATTTGGTAGTAGTAGCTGCTGGCGTCGTTGTCGTCTGTTCCAACCGGTTCGACGAGGGTTGCCGTAGTCGTCGTCGTCGTCGACGCCGTTGTTGAACTTTCGGTTCTGCCGGTTCTGCTAACGTCGTCGTCGTAGTTGATGCATTTGCTAGTGCCACGTGCAAGGAGGTCTTGTTCTGTGCTAGAATGGCGCTGGCATGTCCTCTCGATGAATGATACTTCTGAGGCCATGCTGTGCCCTGCAATGGAAAGAGTGCGAGAAGAATTGGTTAGTAATATTGACTAACCTGAAGATATTTAATTTATTCAGTTGATAGATATTTATTTTTTGGATGGTCCGCAAAAAATCACAATGTTTGGAATTCTATACAAGAAAAGCTTTTAAATCACTGCCGAAAGTCATACCGAAACTGCTTGACAAAGTGACCGATCGGACAATGTTCAGAAAAGCTTGAAATCTTCCTATAATTCTAGCAAACAGGATAAAGCTTTACCCTTGCACCTTATTTCGAATGCTGCATTTTCAGCTAATGATAAAAACTTGTGTAAACACTTTCGCACGACGAACGTGCAGTTCAAAGCTTTCACTGGGATATCCATCAAAGCTCAAGCTCCATGAAATTCTCACTATATACACGGTCGGTCAGACCTACTCAAAATTGTGTCGAGTCGACTCAGTTACGGCAGAAGTGGATTTACTCAAAATTGAGTTGTTTTTTTTCCGGGCAAAAGCCGTTGAAAATCCATGAAAAATTTACTCATTCGTGGAGTATACTAAGGCCGCTGGAAGAGTGAAAGCTGGTGACCGAGCGAACCAAACATATTATTAATAATTGTTATCCGTTTTTCTAGTCGGCTCGGTCACCAGCTTTCACTCTGTCTGGGGACTAATAAATTGAATAAATCCTCTATCGAATAGTTCTCCAGCAAAAGCCCGGAAAATTCTTCTCACTTTTGAGTAAATCCACTTTTGCCAAAATTGAGTAGACTTGACTCAATTTTGAGTTGGTATGAACAACCGTGTAGTGAAAGCAGAACATGCTTTCAACTTTCGGAGATGACTGCAAGCTTTCTCGCAGCCAATTGCGCTCTCAATATCAACGGATAATCAGGATACGTTCTCCCTCTCTTTCATCAACCTCATCTGTTATCCTTATAACAGGACCAAACTTATATCCGCTTCCACCCACCAAAACATTCCAAGCTGTGGCATGATGGTGGTGAAGACAACTGCTCGTGATGAAGAATTTGGCTCGGGTAACGCATTACACCGTAGGGATCTAACACCAAGGATAAGATTATTACATAATAATAGGAGATAAAAAGGCAGACCACGGTGAAAAACTTAAATCTAGCGTGACTTATCAAAACACCCTAAGAAACAATAATTGATTATTTTCATCTATTTACCCGGCTGTTCAATAAGTCCGGAGTGATTTGAGATTTTGGCGTAATTGCTTTTGTAAACAAACACGTCAATTACTGATTTCTCTTGAATAAAAGCTCAATCTCACAAACAAAATTTTTCCAAATGATAGAGGAATCATTCCTCTACCTCATAGTGTTATTACTTTTCGAGATTGAGCTTTTATTCGCGAGAAATTGGTGATTGACGTGTTTGTTTACAAATGCAATTACGCCCAAATCTCAAATCACTCCGGAAGTTTGCTTCAAACACGGGACAGACGATGCAACTTATTGCAGCATCAATTTGTAGCTGGAACACATTTCGACAGTCTGTTATTGATCCACGATTGGTAAATCTATCTACAAAAAATCTTCTTTCATATATCGTATCCTGCACGTATCTTGCTCCATCTTTTTGCAGGATACCTTCGAAATCTTTAGCAATCTTCTTTCTATCTAAATACTTTGTTTTTTTTTTAAATAGAGTTGTAGTAGGGGAATTTACGTATTCTCGTCAGCCTAAGCAGAGTGCATGCTTCTTTTTATATTTTCTCGTTCTCACGCACACAACTAAAGACCTTGTTTGTTTACATTCTTTTGCTGCCTGCTGATTTATGTAGGGTAGAGCGCTACTTTGTCGTAATCGTCCATTTCCGTTCTATCGATCAGAAAAGATCAATAATATCAATGATTTCACCGTGCAGAAATCAATAATAGGTTTGGTCAGATGCGTTAATTCATTAGATACAACATAAATCCTGTTAGAGCGCATTGTATGAATATTTACGCTCATTGTTCTCAAAACAAAAGAAGCGCTCCTAGCAAATCCCCCTTTTCTACGTTTATCCGTAGGACGAAGAAAATCTAATGGCGTCTCAATGCGTTAGGATGGAATTGAAACTCGTAGGACGAATTTAGAATCAAGAAGCAGTATTAGATTTTAAGCAATATCTCAACAATTGGTGACTCTTAATCAAATCCAACGGTACGTATGGAAAGGTGAATAAATTTAGAAGTCATCTTTGACAGATATATTCCATTTTTGTTTAAACTCGTTCAGAAAAAAGTGGTAAAGCGCGGGTTGTGCTTAGTAGGACGGAAATTAGATCAAAAACCCTATTCCAATCGACCTAATTGTCAAAAATGGTCAAAAATCGTTTTTACAACGCTCCATACTTCCCAGGTGAGTGTGACAATTGTTGGCAGCTCCTTTTTTTTCGGCAGCCTTTCTATTTGATTTACGTTTTAACTGGTTGTCCTATTATCGGCACCTCTAAATAAGCTGCATAATGTAAAAATCTGGCATGAAAAATTGTTCAGACATCAACATGTTATTAGTTTGTAACTGATTAACCAAGAAATCGGTTGAATACATTTAAAAGGATGGTCTTCTGGGATAATTCAGCGGAATTACCGTTTTAAAGTGGGTTGCTGAAAATAGTCGTAGGTGCTGAAGCCAACATTTATCCTATTATGTAGGGCACCTACTTTCCAAACCAGTTTCACACACCGCCGTTACCATTTCTAGGGTTACAAAATCATCGCTTTTCTACTGACTGGATAAATTGCATTGTGGAAAGTGAAAGATTTAATTGGGAAGTTGTTAAAAAAATATTGAACAACACAATAAATTCTAGCGAAAAAACTACAAGAAACAGCCCTATGGGGTTGTACGCAATGGTGACGTAGGACTACGTGGTCTTATATAACAAATCTTATTTGTTACCTGCAGCAGGAGTTTGCATTTTGTGTTGGAATATGAATTTGAGCGGGGTTCTCTCTGTTTATACTCTTAAGTATGAAGCGCGATGGCCCACAGCGACTGACGAAGAGCTACTGATTCCGATCAATAGCGGTGCGGCTTCTTCCTCCTTCTATGAATGCTCATGTGGGCTGCAGCTTGCTGCTTGCAGACAGCCTTTCGTTGTATACTGGAGAACAATGTTAAACGCCACGCACCGAAAGCACTGCTGCTGCAGCTGATGATGCTGACGACCGGACACCACCACCCACGGTGATTGTAAAAGAAACCGATCAGCGGTTGAGGCCAGCCTTGATAGCTAGCAGCTTGCGGGGAGCCTTTCGTTGTGCACTGAAGAACACCACCACTCACCACGCTGCGATTGAATAAACAGCGTTTGGTGAGACCGGATGGAATTAAACTTTGAAATCTGTGTTAGGGAAATGGCTTTTTGCAGGCAATCGGTGATAATTTTAATTATCATAGCAACAGTTGCACCAACAATCAATACGAAACTTACGATTTTAAATTGGCTCACTTCTTGACTAGCCTATTGGTCCCAAGCAAACGATTAACGTACCCCATTCTAGTCGAAATTGTAGTACTACGCAATGTTTGTTTTGATTCGCTTTGAAAGTATGACAGATAAAATGAGGGGTTATTGGTTTTTCCTATGTTTCGAGGGGTGAATCTATTAGCATGGGACCGAAGAGAGTACCAGAGCTGAGCCAAAAAATTGAGTACGTTATTTCGGGACCTCTATGGTTGCACATTCGTGCAATTTTCAAAACTAACTTTTTGAAAAATTATGAAGTCTTAATTTTAACAGATTCGTAGAAAAATTCCTATCTATTGGGGCGTTAGGAATTAAAATCCATCATCTCTGGATCAAAAATTAGACCGCTTTCATGCCTCGACCGACTTTGGTTTTTGAAATTGCACCTCCAATGTTGCCTTCAAGAACATTGTATGGTAGATTTGAACATATCTAGATATAGCTGGCATTAGGCGTAACAGCTTTTGTAAACAATGACTTCTCTCGATGATTTTTAGGAATTCAAGACACGCCCATTCAAACCAACATTACCGTCGGGTAGGGAAAGTCTTACCCTACCTGATGGTAATGCTAATTTTCGTGGGCGAGCCTTGACTTCCAATGCATCATCGAAAGAAGGCATTGTTCACAAAAGCTGTTACGTCCTAATTCCAGCTCTATTTTGATATGTGAACTGACGTCCGATTGATGACCTCGACAAATGTACTGGTTTTCAAATTTATGGTGGTCCTGAAAAGGACCGTTTTGTCGTGATGGTTGAGTAATGCTGAGCTATTAAGCTGTTAAATACATATGAGGCTGGTGAGCTGTATGTTGTTTGGAATGAGGGTGACGCGCTTGGCATAGATGGCTTACAGCGACTCACGAAGAGATACTGATTCCGATCAGGGGCGGTGCGACTTTTTCCTCCTTCTATGGATGCTCATGTGGGCTGTAGCTCGCTGCTTGCAGGCAGCCTTTCGTTGTGTACTGGAGAACAATATTGAATGCCACGCGCCGAAAGCACTGCTGCTTTTTTGGGCACGGTACGATGAATTGTAACATGAAGGCTCGTTGTGGCAAATGTGCTGGGGCTCACAATACTACCGCCTGCCAGAAGGAAGAAGAAGCTGAACTTAAGTGCGTGAACTGTGATTCCAATCATCTGGGTAGCGATAGGAGATGTCCCAAGCGAGCGGCCTTCATCCAGATCCGACAACAGGTTTCCACGGGGAACCAACCTGGTCGCCACCGCAATAATCACGTTCCTATTGTCAACATGGACACGTTTCCAGTACTTCAGGCTCGTCGTATGGTCCCGAACCTAGCACTGCTTCCACTAAACCAGCGCCCCCCCGTTGCAAATCCAACATCATATCAAGCGGGTGCCAGCAACCGATCAGTTCAGCATCGCCTCACTGCCGCTGCGGCCCAGCCAAACCATGGCTCTACTGCCCCGGGATTATCGTACGCCCGTGCTGGATCAGGTGAATCAGAAGACAATTCTCCACTCACAAGCGACGAACTAGTGATCCTCGTGACTGAGGTGATCATAA